GATGTACTAGTGACGAGTAAAAAGTTCTTTCGATTTTAATAGTAAAAATTGACATGTTTCACAAAAATTTTACATAGCTATGACAGTAGACATGTCAATCGCGTGAAATCTTGACTGACTGCTAACGCTTTGAATGGTATGGCAACTTCAAGACTTGACAATGATGATTTTTTTGACTTTACATTCAGGGTCTTTAATTCCAACGAAGACGTCATGATCCAGGATATACAGGATTCTTTTATGATATTTGTTGGCATAATGTTCCTAAATAATAAATTGTTTGAACATGGAATATGTAATGGGACAATAGGAGTAATCGCCAAGGTAATTGATGATAATAAATAATGTTGAGGTCGCTTTCCCCACAGCTAACAATATTGTAAAGATAAATGTTCAAAAAGAAATCACGTACTTCACTATCAATGGAATACCAGCATCCAGGAAGCAATTTCCAATTCAGAATGCATTTCACTCACTGTTCACAAGACACAAGGCCTTACACTGCCACACTCAACTGTATCCATTGATGAAAATATGTTCGCCACAGGACAGATATGTGGTGATGAGTAGGGCACCTTCGTGGGATTCTCTGGATATATTATCTTTTGATTTTGATTGCATAAAGGTAGATAGACATGTTATTGATGAGTACAAAAGGTTAAATCTCTTGAACCAAAATGGCTTGAAAGAATTGATGTAATAAAAAAAAAATACCTTGTAAAAAAAAGTACGTAAAAAAAATCATTAGAAAATTAATTATCAACGTAATAAAATAAATAAAATAAATAAATGAATAAATAAACAAATAAATTGTTTTTCATTTTTCACTTATCAAAAAATTATGCAATCAGAAATTAATAAGACAATCATGATTATTATCATTATATTTGTGTGTAGTAGTCCTGCTCTAAACCTGAAAACACCATCATCAAATTCATCATCTTTGAATGATTTAAATACTCAAACTTACGAAAAATAAATGATTTATAAAGAGGAAGTAAAAAAAGTAATATTGCTTGTAGGTATTTTAAAACGAGAAGGTGATGTTGTGTAATACCAAGCAACTCTAAAGCATGGCAATAAAAGAAATTAAGTGCGGAAAAGGATTGATGACTAATAGTTAAAATTAATTTTTTCTCATTTTTATGCATGCGTATATGGTTGGCTCGGTCTAAAGACCTCCTATTGCTGCGCCATATAGCCAAATTTCAAAATAGCAATTTTGTAATTCGTAAGGTTGCTGGTGGAACCTATTCAGATAGTTACGCCGGTTTCGACATTGCACCATTCACCAATCGGCTTTGGCGCAACTGGTGAAATGAAAATCATACTAAATTAATGCTAGTACATAGGAAAAAAAATTTTAAAAAAAAAATTCTTTGATGTTAATAAAGCGAACTTTTCAACTGTAACTAATTAATTGGTAAGCACCGAATATTATTGCAATTAATTGACAAGAATATCCTAATGTTAAGTCATAATCAGCCACATTTGTTAAATAATTGGTACAATTCTAAACATTATTGTCAAACAAATCAGTTTTATATTTTTACTAATTATGCTTAGGAACATTCAGATAGATGAGATTATCTGTATTTTTCTTCATATAAATAAATAAGATTATTTTTAAAAAGAATAAATAACATATTTTTACTACTACAAAGTATTTGTTATAAGAATGTCCAATTTGTTTTGAAAATAATTCTTTACATCAACAATATATTTTTTTTAATTATTAGAATAATCACTCCTTTATTAAAAATATATAATTATAGTAGTGGTATATAATAATAAACATAAAAAAAATAATATGACAACTTCTCACTGGGATGATATAAATGATTTTCTTGAACCATCTTATAATTATGAACTTGATGCTGAAGATGTTTCTTTGTTAAATAGAGATGAAATTAGTTCTTCAATTAAAAAAAAAGGTGGTAGAAGGCTTGATGATATCTGGGAATATGTGAATAAAGGAGAATCATTAGGTGGTGGTCACTATAAAGCATCATGCAAGTGGTGTGGAGGAGGGTGGACAAGAGGAAGACTGCAAGACATGAAAGTGCATTTAGCAAGAATCTGTAAAGATGTCCCAGAAAATATAAAAAACTTATGGCGTAATTATTTAGCCGAAAACACTTCATCTAATACTAAAAATAAACGAACCATAAATCAACCAACTATTACCAGTCATTTCCATTCTAATACTCCAATTTCATCTGCAAAAGCCCATTTATTGGATCAAGCCATTCTAAAAGCTTGGTTTTGTTGTGGTTTTGCTTTCCATACCATAGAAAATCCTTTTATAATTGATTTATTTCAAATTGCTGCACCTGGGTATAATTTACCATCCAGAGAAAAATTATCTGGATTTCTTTTGGAGTCAGAAGCTGCACGGATAGAACAAAAAGTTGAGTTTGAGCTTGATAATGAAGAAAATCTTACATTGAGTACATATTTATTTATAATTTAAAATAATGGGTTGTTATATCATGGATTATTAGAATTAAAAACCAATTTTTTCTTAAATATTAATTACAAATGTTTTTTATTCATTATAATTAGGTCTTGACGGATGGACTTCTCCCACCCATGACTCAATATATAATTATGTAGTAACTACACCCAAACGTAAAGAATATTTAATTAAATTAAAAATTTATAACACAGTCAGTCAAACCAGTGAGTTCATGGCAAATGAAATTTCAAGGGTAATTGAAAAGATTGGATTACATAAATTTGCTGCAGTGGTGACGGACTCTGGATCAAATCTAAGAGTAGCAAGAAGAATAATAAATGAATCATATTCACATGTTTTGAGTTTTCAATGTGCCACACATGCAGCAAATTTAATAGCTTCAGATTTTTGTGAATTGGAGTCAATTAAACCAATTATTTCAAATTGTTCTGCAATTTTAAAATTTTTTCAATCATCTCATATTGCACATGGTTATTATCAAGAACAGTTAAAGGCAATGAAAATCAAAGGTGGTGAAATTAAATCTTATACGAAAACTAGATGGGGATCTTTTTGCATGACAGTGGATTCAATAATAAGATCAAAACCTGTTTTTGATTGGGTAAGGATTTTAATGATAATTCTGGAATTTATATTATTGTTAAATTCTTATATTAATTATTGTTGTTTTATAGATTCTTGATAATTATCCTTCTGTTATTTCAAATGATAATGTGTTCAATTATTTACATGACAGTGGATTCAATAATAAGATCAAAACCTGTTTTTGATTGGGTAAGGATTTTAATGATAATTCTGGAATTTATATTATTGTTAAATTCTTATATTAATTATTGTTGTTTTATAGATTCTTGATAATTATCCTTCTGTTATTTCAAATGATAATGTGTTCAATTATTTACAAAATGAGGATTTTTATATGAAGTGTTGACAAATTTTTTCCATTTTAAAACCAATAAAAGAATTAACAAATATTTTAGAAGCAAGATCTGCTAATCTAGCTGATTGTTTCATTGGCTTAGTTAAGCTTGCTGCTGCCATAAACCAAATAGATGGTATGAATCCATGGAAACAAGAAATCACTGTGAAATTTAATAGAAGGTTTAATGAATTCACTAATTATTATTATATTCTTTCATATTGGCTTCATCCTTATATCATTGTCTGCATTTTTTTTGTATAAATATATATGTATATATATACTTTTTTATGTAATTGAAAATAACTTGTTTATTTTTTTAGGCAAGGGCTTAAAAAATGATGTATTAGACAAGATATATGAAGCAGCAGCAAGTTTGTGGAAGGTTATGATGAACATTCGTGTATACAATTATTGACATAGATGCGTGCTTGGAAAAGACAGTCTCCACCATATCATTTGTCCTATAATAAAGAAAAGGAAAATCCAACTATGTGGTGGTTAAGTATTAATACAGATAAAAACAATGACCAATTGCAAGAATTAGCCTTACATCTTTATGCAATATCTCCATCTCAAGCAGTTTGTGAACGTAACTTCTCTACATTAAAGTGGATTTATGGAGATTATTGAACCAAATTAAGTATTTACAAAGTTGAAGCAATGTGTAAAATTCATTCATATTATATTTCTAACTTGGATAAAGAATTAAAATATTATGGTAAAGGGTTGAATATTAATGAAATAAGGAATAATATATTTGATTCATCAATTACTAATAATTTTTTTGATGAAAGTGATTTTAATAATATTAATGATATAGAAAATGATGAAAATCAAAATATTAATAGTAATAGTAATTTAGAATTAGGTAATTTAATAAATTTAGGCTTACCAGAATTCAATTCAAATTTTAAGATCAGATATTATTAATGAACAATCAGAAAGTTTAAGAAATATAAATGTAGGAAATATGTCTTATGATCCAAGTGCTCTAGTAGAAATATTATGAACCAGGATGATTTGGAAAATAATTAAATAAATTGTTTAAAATTTTAACATGATTTTATTTGAATATATATATAGTAATAAAGATATAAATTTTTAAAAATTATAATAATAAAGTTTCGCCAGTTACCAATTTCCCAGTTGCGCCAATTTCACCAGTTGCACCAGTTGCAACAGTTACAGCAATTTCGACAAACATCCTTTGAGTTGTACCATTGGTGGAATAGTTTCACCAGTTACACCAGCCGTAACTACTCAATTTCACCAGCAACCTTATGTGGGACACCCCAGTACTATACGTACTGTACATATAGTGTTCAACTATACACCATTTGCCCATTTTTAAGCAAGATGTTGTTTTTCATTTACTTCTTTGTACATATGAATACCTTGTATGCTTTTATGACCTGTTGTTCAATTAATTCAGAATTCGTAATCTTATCAAGCAGCATAATATAATTATAATTCTTTAAATTTAGTAATTTAATTTCGAGTTGATTTTTAGTATTTGCAATAATAGCTTTTTGATGATAAAAATTGAGTTCTCATAAATTTCAAATGGTGCTTGTTGTGTGGAAATGGTATTTGAAATACTTTGAGTAATAGAATCAACTGGTAAAGTAGAAATCGAAGCCTCAGAAACTTTTTGGGAAAGGAGCAAACTTGCATTAGCAAAATAGGTTGAAATACTTTTTTGGGACCTTTTTGCTTTTTATTGTTGTGAATTTGATGCATTTTTATTAAATAAGAAATGTTTTAGGAAAGGATGCAAATGGTAAATTGTGATTTTTTATCATAAGTAAAAAAAAAAGACTTTATGTAAAATAAACTTTTTCATAGCAAAATAAAATTTTTTTCATAACGGGCGTTAATCTCCGTAAGATAAACCAGTTATTTCACAGATTCCCGTGAAATAACTATTATATAAATATATCAGTCATTTTGGATTTATGAACTGTAATAATATTTATTTGATTCCCGCACATTAAGTCACAAAATTTATAAAAAATTGAGGTCGGACGGTACACATCTCTAAAATCATACTGCGCGCAAATAAACTATCATGTTTGGATTGAGCATTCCGCACATTGATTTTAGACAATGCCTAGTTCTGCAACTTTTTATTGGTCTTGTAGGTCCTTTAGTAACATGAAAATCAAATCATAGTTTATGACCTTTCTCTACAAAGTTATGATTTCATTTTGTCATTGTTGAACCAATCAAATTGCAAGCTAACCTAATGAACAATTAGTGTGTAACATGACGAAACTCCGCCAATTGATTTCTGGAGGAGTTTTGGCGAATAACCATACCATCAATTAAAACTTTTGACAGTACATGATGTGCTAAAATATTACATTTTTCCTTAATAAAATCACTAAAATATTGATTGAATATATATATATACATATATCATCAATTGCTTCATTTGTATGACAATGCTTGCACAATTGGTTTTTTTTTGAACATTGACATGTATTTGTTTTATAATAAAAGGCGAGATTAAAGTATCATCTTTATTTCATACTCATCATCATTCATATTAACATATATGTCAGAATCAAATTCTTCCTCTGAACTTTCTATATTTTCAGTTTGAGCAGGTTGTAAAGATTGAAAATTGTTCTTTACTCTTTGCATGATGATTTAAGTAATCTTCATCCCAGCATCTATTAAGTACCACAAATCCAAATAACCTTCTTAGCATGAATAATATGGGCACAATATGAGTATTTTAAAAGTTGCTCTTTACAGAAGACATGGTAAAAATGATAATTTTATTCTATCTAATATAGTAATAGTTGACCCAATTTATTTGAAACATATGACCTTTCAAAAAATTAAAAAATTAACAAAAATAAGCAAACTAAACATATGAGGTCATTGGTATTTTGCCTAATTCTAAAACAAATCCATTTCCTAACCATGACTAAAATTACACTAGCTAAGCAAACCCTACTAATATATTGATTTTGTGAAACATAAAATTTTACAAATTAGGATGCCACATAGATATAAATGAAACAAAAAATACAAAAGAGAATCTCACCAATTTATGACTGTTTCTTTACATTAATTACCTTTTCTTCTTCTCTAATTCTTTAAATAAAGCACCTTTTGTTTCTTTCATTAATTCATACAATTGTCCAATCTGTTGATCATTAAATTTCTCTAAATCATCAAATTTTTTTCCATATTTAATATTATTCACATTATCATCACCATCACTGTCACTTTTACTGCTCTTACTGCCACTAATAATATTAATATCATTAGTGTTAGAATCTTCTTGGTCATGTTTCTTGTTGGATATTTGTGATTCAAGTACCTTTAAATAATTTTGCCATTGAGTTAAAAATCCAACAATGTGAATTGGATTTGTTATATCTTTATGTTGTCTAAATTCTGATTTAACATAATCATCTCCTACTAGACGTAAAGGTGTTGGTAATTGTTGATGTATCCTTAGAATTTGACGATATAATGTTAATGGTGGCAATAATTTTGAATTTAAGATTTTAGTAGATTGTGAAATTAATTGTTGTCTTGAATTCATCTTAGTTTCGTTATATTCTTTTAACAAAAAAAATTTTTTGTGTAAAAATCAAAAAATTCAAATTTAAAATTTTAATTTATAAATAACATTGAATAAAAAATTTAAATACAACCATACTTCAATCGTCATCTATAATCACTATATACAACTATTACGATGATTTAACAATGATTATTAAAGAAGATGGAGTATTAATAAATTTAATAAATTGAAAAATATACGATTTTTTTGATCTGATATAGTTTTATAAAGTTTAAATTAATTAAAATTACGAAGCGAACGAATATAAAATAAGTTCCTTCTTTCAAAATCAAAAAATATATCCAATAACAATAAATTCTTTTTTTCCAATTATTCTTTATCACTAATGCCAATAATATTAAAAATAAATAGCTATTGCCATCATTATCTTCATTTTCATCTTTTAAATTCCCTTTTTATTATCAATTAATTTATTTACAATAATAAACTCACATTCCATCACACCTCTAACAATTTCAAATAGATTGATAACAATAACAATAATTAATTAAAAGCGATCTTTCTTTGAATGTTTTACCAGCAAGCGAATCATTTTTCGATACTTATTATAATATGGCTGATTATTTAACCTCAACAGATTCCTTGGTATCCTAATAACAACAACAACAACAAAAATGATGGAGTTATTGCCGACGATGCTCTTTGCCTTCTTCCACCTTCATCACATTGTCTTCCGCCTTGCTCACCACCACATTATGCTCCTTGCACTCATCATCTTGATTTTCCTGTAAAATGTATTGTTTGATGATGCTATTACAGACATATTATGTGATTGTTTTTTACGGCAATGATGTTGTTGTCATGGTAAATGTAATTTTTAATATACAACACGTGTTCAATCATTTTCTTGATTTTGGTGTAATCTAATACCAAAAAAAATTTTTTTTTGATAAATCATGGAAACAAATGATTTAGATTTGACAAGAAAGTCAATCTTAGAACAACGCAAAAGAAATTTGTTATATTTATTAACTTTCATATTTTCTCGTAAAGATTATGAATGTTTGTCGCCTAGCTTATCAAAAATACTTAAAAGTGTTGGTTTGAAAATACCAAATAACGAAGAATTCAAAGATGCTTCAAAGTAATCCCTCATTTACTTTTAATTATTATGATTATAATCATTAATTAATTAATTATCAATAATAGTTTAAAGCCACACGACCATCAAACTGCCATTAAAGCAATTTTTTGTCTTCACGATGACTGTTTACCTAACACTTCTAGAAGTGGTTTATTGGCTTTTTTAAAGGTTACTGCTATTACAATTGTTATCGAGATTTTGTTAAATTTATCAAAAAATTTAAAAAAGAAAAAAAGGTCAGTAATAAATTATAAAATTACAAAATTACAAACTACAAAATTGATAAATATTACTATCACACATTCACTCACTCAAACATTTATATGTCTAATTTAGTATTTTTAAACTATTGGACGAAAGACAAATAAAATCTAGTTATCGATTTGCAATCTCAGTTTCCTCTTACATAGTAATATATAAATCATTACTTAGATTTTTCATACGTCTACTCGATCCTCTATTAAAACCTCCAACGAATCCAAGTATCAATGATGTTGTTTGTTCGCCATTGGTTTCTCCATTTTTGGCCGGATGTTTGGCTGGTCCTTGTTTATTGATCGATAATGATAAACCTAGAAGAATCTCCTTGGCTATTTATACATTTACTAAAAGTTTACAATTTTTATATCATTATCTAAGGAAAACTCATATAATACCAAAAATGTCATGGTGGTGGGGTTCTTGGTTAATATTTCCATTAAGTTCTGCTCAATTGATCTATTCCTATTTGTTACATCCTGATACTTTTCCTGTATGTTTATAAAATATATATATATTATGTTTCATGTATACATATTAATATTATAACTTTCTTTTAGGAATCTTATTCAAATTTCATCACAAGCCGTAGTTCCACTTATGTCCAACCAATCCCTGAATATTTTCCAAAATCAATTTCATGGCCAACTGGTAGAGAAATAGTGGATCGTATAGAAATACTGGCTTCACTTTATTATCCAAAATTCTATTCATCAAAACTCCATGGTCGTGATGCTCCGCCATTACCTGACGCTTTAAAATCTGTCAAAGTGATATTTGAGATAGCTCATCCTGCTCATACAAAAATGATGTGTGCTATGTTACATCCTGAAGATCCAAGTTGTCTAAGAACTTTTACAAAATTTATTGTAAAAGAAGGTTTGACAGCTTTGAAATTTATGGGAGTTATGCATGCAGTTGGTTTATTGTTTAAATCAAAATCTTTTCTTAAGAGGTAAATAATCTTGTTTTTTTATTTATTATTTTAATTTTTTTTTCATTAAAATAGATCCATTAAATATATTTAAATAAATATAATTTATTATTTTTAGACCAAATGATATTATAAAACATATTTTAAATTCCACGATACCTGCAACATTTAAAGGAGCAACATTTATTACGATGGCAATTTCAACTGCATGGGCTTTAATTTGTGGTTTTCAACAAGTCCTACCAAATAAATTTATGCCTATTTCAAGGTAAAAAAGTTTAATTATCAATTAATATATAATGGAGTAATAATGATATTTCCTATATATATATAATTTTATAAATATATGCAATAGAATTTTTATTAATGGATTTATTGGAGGATTATGGATTTTAGTTGAAAGTCCAAATCGTAGATTAGATATTGGAATGTATAGTTTACGTTTATCAATTGAATCTACTTGGAAATTACTATTAAAAAAAGGAAAAGTTAGGAATATTAGGTAATGATTTTCAAACATATTTACACATTAATATTTACTACATATTAATATTTTTATAATAAACAATAGGAACGGAGAAGCAATTTACTTTTCATTAGCTATGGGATGTATAATGGCAATTTACAAAACTCAACCAAAAAGCATTTCTAGTTATTACAGAATTATTATTAAAAAATTGCTTAATGAGTAATCTAAATAATATTGTTAGATAGGCTTTGTTCAAAAAGTTTAAAGTAGGTTATTCGTATTGAAATTGATACCTTTTAGATCAACTTTCGGAATAATTATTATTATTAAAAAATTTTTTTCGTAATTTTTATTTACAAAAACTAATAATTATGGAAAGACATCATCATGAAAACAAGACATTATAAACAAACCAGTTCATTGTGTGTATATATATATATATATATAATTAAATATGGAAGGGTTTCAAAAACAGCTGATTCATCAAAAAAAAAGATATTTTAGAAATTTTACCAAACTTCATTTCATTGTTGTCTATCTTCCTTCTATCGACTTCCAACAGAATATACAAATAAATTTAGTAAATAAAAACAATGATTACAACAACATTAACAAATAAAATAAAAAAATATATTTATAAATAAAGTAAATATAAAATAAAAAACATAATGATAGTAGCAAAGCAAAAGTAAAAAAAGAAATGAGTTAATATAAAAAAAATTATATATATAATTTGTACATGGAAAACTGAAAAAAAACAATATAATAATATTAATTAAAGATTGTCCAATTGAAGGAAAGAATAAAATAACAGTTAAGAAACATTATATGGCATATAATATAATATGAAAGGGAAAGATATATATATACATATAACACGACAAACAATGATTGTTCCTTATATATATATATATATATATATATATATTATTAATTTTTTTTAAATTAAGCAATTTTTTCGTATATTGACTAAAGCACTAGAACCAACACCATTTCTAGAAAGTTCATTTAATGCTACTGAAGTTTGTCGATAGATTTGTTCCAATGGCGGAATTGCAGGTTTTCCTTGTGATACTGAAAAATAAATAATTCGATGGTATGAAGATTAATATTGTTGTATTTATAAACTGGAATTTTTTTCACAATAAAATTTTTTCACCTAAAATTGCACTATTTAATGCATTGGCAACTGGCTCACGTTCAGATGGATCTAATAAATAAGAAACAACACTTTCTCTTGGATCAGTATACGCTAATAATGAAAATGTTTCCTAATAATAAATAAATAAACACATAAATATATATACATATATCGAATGTTTAATAAACAACATTATCTTAAACAAATATATATATATCTAACCAATAATTTCTTTTTTACTTCTTCTCGAGTATCATCACGATAATCATCTTGTAATTCTTGACCGAATCGTACAGCAGACTCTATCATTCCTCCTAATCCATTTAAGTTTACCTCGGGTCCTTTCCGCCGTTTTAATGTTTTTTTGTTTTTGTTTGATAAATTATCATCTTCTAATAAATTGAGTTCATAATCATTCTGTGTATTTGAAAAATCATCAACTTCCATTGCATCCTCATATTCATCATCGTCCTCATCGTCATCATCTTCCTCCTCATCGTCATCCTCATCGTCATCTTCCTTCTCTTCTATTTCTCCCGCCTCGTTGTTATTTTCATCACTATCATTATCATCGCTATCTTCCTCAATCACACCACCATTATCTCCAAAGACTTCAATATCATCATCTTCCGCAATAATGTCGTCTCCATTATTTTCTCCCTCGCCCTCATCAATAATTTCGACTAATTTTTTATCTTTCTTGATCGCGACATCATCTTCGTCTGAACTCATTATTTGACTACCAGCACACTCTCTCATCATTTCGATAAATTTGCGACATCGAAGTTGAAACAAAATATCATCGTTAGAAGGTAAAACTGATGGATAAAACTTATTGGTTAATTTGATGGCATCATCTATATCACCTTTAAGGACAGAATCTCGAATTCCTATAAAACAACAATAATATAAATTCAATAAAAATTAATTTCACGATAAACTATCTTTTTCAAATTATCAATCTTAAAAAAAAAAAAAATATGTATAATTGTTTTTCATACTCTGCCTATTTAACATATCTTTATCTAAATTAAAAGATGTGTTCTCAATTTCCACTCCTTCCATCGCATTACTATTAAGAATAGAATTTATTCGTGTAGCATCTTGTGAAAAAACTTTTGCTGCCTCGCTGTATCCATGATGAATTAAATATGATATAATAAGTTGATGTACTGTAGATGTAAGATTTGTTTCTGTTGCAGTTTTATTAATTTGTAGATTGTTAGCTGATAATGATGACGACGATGGTGGTTGTGGTGACAATGATGGCGAAATAGGTGGCATAAGTTTAGCATTAATTATTTTCCATAGACGTTCTTTTTCTGCCTATTTTTAAAAATTTTTTTTTTAAATTTGAATAGTCATTATTATTATTATTATATATTATTATAATTAATTTCAATCAACCTTCACATAATCTTCAATTGAATATTTGAATTTCTTTTGACCAAAATTGACTTCTAAAGATTCTCCTTGTGTCCTTAATCCAATTGATGGATAAAGTGTTCCTTTTAAATCTCTAAATGCAATTCCTTTTATATATATTTGTTATTGTTATTGTTATTGTTATTGTTATTGATTAATATAAATCATTAGATTTTATATGTATATATGAGTTTACTGACCAAGATGTTTTCCATTTTTTGTATAAAAAGCTGTGTTATCTCTAAAATTTAAACAACATCCAATAATATCACCTGTTGTAAATGTAGGTCCATATGGTTTTCCAGTACCAGAACAACAGAAGGAATGTCCATCATCACCATGATATCCCCAAGAATCTTGTTCCCAGCCTTAATTTTAATTAAACAAAAATCATTTTGATTATATTAATATTTAATTTATCAATAATAATAATAATAATAATAATAATAATAATAATAATAATAATAATAAAGGGTTTATTTTTTTTTTTTACCTGGCAATCTATTTAAAGCAACAGATTTTGTACAGAACCCAATGCCAATATAGCTAATAAAATTTATATATAATCATATTATATTTATTTATTTAAAGAACGAAATTATCGAAATTATAAAAATAATGTACAATTTTGAATCATTTTTACACTCACCCATCTTTTCCTTTGTTTATAATTTCTACTTCAAAATAAAATAATCCACATTGGGGAGGTATTGGATGATTTGCTCTTATTGCTGCGGCATCTGAATCACTTTTACCACTGCCTGCAAGAAAATAAAATAATAGTAATATAATGAACAATGAAATAAAAATTCAGTAATAATAATATTCATAATAACAACAATGAAATGATTTTTGAATTTAAAAGGAATAGTCTCAAAATAGAAGAGATTAATGATTAATGAAATTTTAATAAAACTTCAATCAGAAATCTTTTGTTGTTTGAAACAAAAAAAAAGATATTTATGTCTATAGTTTAAAATATATGACAATACAAATAGGTTTATTTTTTAGAGTATCTTACCTGTATAATTTACTTTAAGTTTATTTTCTTCCACGTTCAAATGATTACATTTATCTTCAACATTCCAAGCTGTAGGCAAAGCGAGAGCCTCAAAAGAAAGTTTATCAGAATCGTTATTAGCAAATGCCTCAGGTTCAGCTTCATTATACAAATCAGCAAAACTTGTCTCAACCAAGTAGTTAGGAAGTTTTGGTTTTACAGGTATTGATTTAGATTGCTTATTTTTGTGAATATCTTTATATGAATTTATGTCTGAAGATGCAGTCTGAGAATAAGTATAAGCAGATCGTGTACTAGAGCCAGAAGCAAAGGCAGTTGCTGTTGAATTTAATGGATAGTTCGACATGGCACGTGTGTATGGTGAGGCCATAATAGTGGAATATGAAGAAGAAGTGGTGGAAGAATGATGATTTGACATATTTGTTGGCAAAGGTGGTAATGGTTGGTACAGTGAAGAAGAAGAAGTAGTACCTGATAAGGCAAAAGGTGATGTAAGCAAGCTACTCAATGATATTGTTCTCCTTCTGGAGATAGAGTTTGAAGTATTTGTCATTAACGGAAATATGACACAATAAATCTTAATGAATAAGTTTTAAGCGATTTTTCAAGTCTAAGTTTCTTTTGCTTATCAAATTTGTAATGTTTGATCATATGTGATGTAATCAAATTATACATGATTTTCTAATTTAATAAAAAAAAAAATCACATTAACACAAAAAAAATATCAAATTGAAATTTGTGTCAATTTGACGTTATCACATTCTACAGAGTGATTATTGATGATGACATTTCCGAATTCACATACATGATTTTTTTTTGCTGAATCACATTGTTTAAAAATTAAAATTTATTGTGTCGTTTTTTTTTAAAAAATCTTGAATTAAAATATGATAGATACATATAAGAAATAAGTGTTTAATATATATATTCATATTGCCAGAATAATAAAATCTAAACGAATTTTGTGGATAATTTTTAATTTCCATTACATCAACTAACTATATAAACTATCCTTGTACTAAATTATATTTTCCCTTATAAATTTACATTTTTTACTAATTTAGTCTTTGTTTTCTTAAGTTTTCTCCACGTACCATCAGCTAAATTCATCTCGAAAATAAATATTTCATGGATTTCTTTTCCTTCATCATAACGAGTAATCCTTTCCACATTCAAATCCAACCTCCTTGTATCATCATCAGGACCAGAAATTCCATCCGAAATATTTATTAATTGACCTTTTACTAATAAACGATGTATATATGATTTTCAGTAAGTTGATCTTTTTTTGTTGATATATTATTATTATTAGAAAATAATTTTTACCTTCATTATGTAGATCAGCTAAGAAATAAATAATTAACTCCCTGTTTTGCTCATCAAGCATATTTGCTTTCTCCAATACTTTATATATATGTTCTATAGTTTGTTGTCGTTCTTCTTTAGTTTTGCTATCCAATATTTCTATATTTTTACATAAATATTAGGATGATCCAAAAAAATTCATTATACAATTTCAATGTTTGATTTTAATCAAAATACCTATGATCCTTTGTGGTAATCTTATGTTTAAACTTGATAAATCAATATTTTGTGAATTATTATTATCTTCTAAAATATCTTGCATCACCTTTTCGTCTACATTTTCATTAATTGGTGAGGTCGGCGATTGTTTTATTTGAGGGTCATTAGATATACCCGACGGTGATAATGGTGATTTGGGTGAGCTGAACATTATTTGTGTATCTTTGTGGGAATTTTCACCTTCAGTGATTATTTCTTCCATACCCATTTCTTCTGTTTCGTCTATTTTATTTAGTTAATAAATAAAAATGGTTATTTATAAACCAATTAAATATAAATTAAATTATTATATACAATATATACACACATAAGGAGACAAAAAATCTAACTATTCTATTATATTTATTCTATTAATATTAATATTAACGTTAACATTAATAACACTTTACCATTTAACTTCTTCCTTTTAGGGTAACCAGAAGAACCTTTTTCGTAAAATGAAAAAATTTAATATTATATAAAAGACAGTAAATATTATAATCCTAACAAAAAATCCTTATAAAGAAAGTTAATAAAATCCATTACCTTGCCGTTTTGCTGTTTCAGAAGCTGTAGATGTACTGGTAGAAGACGTCTCAGTTCTTGCTGCTGCTACCATTGCTTCGACTTTTGCAGTTGCTCTTTCTTGTTTTTCTCTTTCTTTTGCTAACCTAGCTTCCTCCTTTTGACGTATCTTATCAGCTTTTTCTTTTTCTTTTAATAGCCTTTTTTCTTCTTCTTCTTTGCGCTTTTCTTCTTGTTTTTTCTCTCTCTCCAATTTACGTTGTTCTTTCAATTGCACCTCCTCTGATCGATATAATATAACAGAAAGGAATTTTATAAAATGTCAATAGATACATTCTGTATTTTCTTTTATTTGACAGCAGAAAAATATGGCGAGCAATACGATTATAAAATTTGATTCGCAACTATAAACTTAATTCGGGTAATCTATGCAAATGGCTTACCCAATTGTGTTTTAAGTTTAGTTTCTTCTTGATTTCTAATAATTGAGCTTCCAGTTGTTATATCTAGAATCTGAATCCTTGTTTCTTTTTGATATTTCTTTCCTTGAGTTATTTTGATTTCTGTTGGTGATTCTGCTCCCGAAGGTCCGTTAGTAAATCCTAATTAAATGAGAAAGACAACATATTAAAAATTGACGCATATATATGTATGTGATGCATGAACAAAATAAGTTTGTCTTTTTTAAAAAATATTTATAACAATAATAACAAAAAAATAAAAACCTCTGGAAGTATTTATTGGACCAGGGAGCGAAGGATTAGTTCTTGGGTATGGGTGAGATAATCTTCGTGTTAAAGAAGGATGTTGAGACGGTGTTTGTCGATTAACCATTGTATTCTGAGGGATGTTTTGTAATGTGTGTGCGCGATTTGAATCCATATTAAAAAATCCTGCAGTGCTTATTGGTGAAATTAATCCTGGTGACATCGGAACAGTTGGCAAATTATTTAATACATTTAATCGTTGTTCTCTGGATATCTCATAATCCGGTCTTAAAATAAAATAAGGTAATGGCGGTGTTGGTGCTGGTGTTGGCTTGAATGTCTCAGATTCTGAATCTTTTGATATCATAGAAAATGAATCACAGACATTTCTGTCCATGAACGCATATTCCACAGGATGAAATTTGATTTCTTTATTCCCTACTATATATATATATATATGCATACACACAGGATAAAAGCAAATGAATAGACGGATTAAGAATAAAATGTTAAATGATTGATTCTTTTAATATATATATAGATTATATAAATACACGGAGATGTATGTTTTATGTTTAACATTTAATAATATTTACTTTTGTCGATCAATTGTTTTAAACCATTTCGTATGTCTTCAGGAAGGTATTTTTCGACAGCCAGGTCAAGTACGCCTGTTTTAGGATAATCAATCATCATTTTTGATACAAGACGAACCCATTCATCCAAATCATTAGAACCTTCTAAAATTATCTTTTTAGGGAAAATTTTCTCAGAACATTAGTAAATAGTATCTATTTTTTAATTTATTTAAATATAAGTATATATTTATAAAATTTGATTACATCTGATATATCTTTTTCTAATGTTGTTACAGTACTTCTTTTTATGCAGAAAATTAGAAATAATATTGCTAGCTTTTCTTTTGAATTATACGATCTCCAGTTTTTAAGTATGTGAAGTAAAATTTCTCCTTGAAGAGCGGGATTTACTATTGAAGGAATCAGCCAGGGATTTTCAGTTGCTTTTGAAAGCAACACTCTAGCCAATTCTTCAGAGTTTTGATCAGTCGTCATATCTCTTTAATGTAGAAGTTACAACAAAAAAATATATATATATCTATATAAATATATATATCTGATACGTTGTTGAACAAAAATTTGCTTCAGGAATACTACTTTATAAAATGAGTTTTTTTTTAAAAATTATTTTTTTGTTGAAAGAAACTACCTTTTTGTAATACCATTTTTGCAACTTTGGCACGTGATCATTTTTTATTCAATGCTGTACAGTAGTTCCACGTGTAAGGTTTTTTTTTAATTTCAACAACATTATTCGATAATGTCAGACACAAAGCAAAAAGGGTAAAAAATAGTTTTTTTTATGACTATATAAAAGATTCATTTTAATTTTTAATTGATTAAATTTGTAGTTTAAAACAAGACGACTTTAGAAAACTTCTACAAACACCAAGACCTAGTGATACACCAGCAAAAGGAATTCTTGGAGTAGCTACACCAAAATATAGAGCAATTCAAGCACAAACACCGTAAGAGAGTGCTTGTTAGTTTTTGACAAAGATTCAAAAAAAATTTAAAGTAGCATAATAAAATGATCTTGCTTTTTTTAAATATTAGGAAAGCAAGTAATAATTCTTTTGCTAAATCTGAAATATTACCGCCACCTTCTTCGAAAACAAAAAGAAGGTTTGTTAGAAATGAAAATTTTGTTGTGAAATTGATGAACGTATAACACAATCGATTTATTCTCTATATTAAATCACGTCTATTTATTATACTAAATTTACCAGTAGGTTCAAAAAGCCAGAGATTTCCGTCGAAACAATCAATGAAAAATATCGAGACCGTGCAGCTGAACGCCGTAAAGGAGATAATCCAGATTATAAAGATACAGAACAAATTCTTGAGGCTCTCAATAATAATGAAACATTAGAAGCAAAATTAGCATATGAACAATCAAAATATCTTGGAGGAGATGCTGAACATACGCATTTAGTTAAAGGTCTAGATTACGCATTGCTTACCAAATTAAGAAATGAAATGTACAAGGGAGAAAACGAAGTAATAGAAGAGGAAAGCGAAATGAACTTATTACAACAAATTCAAGAGGAATCTGAAGATACTCCTAGAATAAAAAGTAAATTAGCACAAAATATTTATGATGCTGTTATTGTCGAAGGCAGAAAAATCCCACCAAAATACAATGAACTATTTGTAGCAGGTAGGATGGCCTATGTTTTTGAATTAGCAGATGAAAATGGGAATTATGGTGATCCATTTGCAATACCGACTACAATTATTCGTAGCAAAGCAGATGTGGGAGATGCTAGTGGTGCAGATAAGTCTACAAATGATTTAGTTATAGAGAAAATATCACGAGTTATGGCAATTGTGAGAAAAGGTGAAAATAATGACGGAGTAGATTCAAAAAAAATAAAAAAAAGATTAAAAGAAAAACAACCTGTAGAAGTAAAAATGGTAAAGCTTGCAGCCATTGATGATTCAGAAGATATATTTGCAGATGCAGGAAGGGACTATAAAGTACTAGTTAATAACGAAGATAGTTCAATTAACAAAAAAGAAGATGTGGACACCCTGTCTTATCCTAAAGCACCGTCATCATTTAGTGAAAACATTAAAAATGATTATTTTGATAAAGAACAGGATTTGATGGAAATCGATCAAAAAGAAGAGGTACAAAACCTCAAGTCTTTGATAGATAACGCAACATCTGTAATTCAAAACAATGATAATAATAACTTATTGAAAAATGAACTAATTACTGAAAATAAACCATCTAAGAGTGAAATTATCAAAAAGAAATTTTTTGGTCAAGATAGTTATGATGGAGATTATTCAACATACGGACTTGGGATAAGTAGTCTAGGTGGCGCAAGAGAAAGTGCATATGACTCTGGTCACTCGGATTCTGATTCTGATGGTACAGGAATTGAACATACAATTAGAGATCAAGGAGTTACCAAGAATAAAAAAGCCCAACTTTCGAGATGGGACTTTGACACGGAAGAAGAGTGGCAAGCCTACAAGGTAAGTGTTTTTGGGCCAATTTTATTATTTGGTAAATTTGATGTTAATGAACGGAAAAATTATTTCGTTTTTTTAAACAGGACAATGTGACAGCAATGCCTAAATCAGCATTTCAATTTGGAGTTAAGACAGGAGATGGTCGTAAAACCCGTAGAAGTGGGAAGGAGTTGACAGAAAAGCAAAAATTAGACAGAGATTGGCAAAAAATTAGCAAAATCATGGAAAAAAAGTATGGATCAAATGATGGTATAGAGGAAGGTTCTTCGCGGAAGAAACAAAAAAATTGATTTAATCTATTAATGACATTATTTATTTATTAAATTTTATATGTATTTTTTTCGATAAGAATTTTAAATAAAAAATTATTCATTTCTTGTACTATTTATTATGGTGCAGAACTTTTTATTGGTTCCTTTAATTCCTCCAAAAATGGAAACGTAAAACCAAAAAACGATTCGTAATTTTGAAGCTAATACTAAGACCTTTTCTACAAAGTTATGATTTCATACCATGGAGGAATTAAGCCTCAAAGTTGCACGAGTTTACTATGTTAACAGTAATATCTTTTTTTATGTCTGCATAACAAATCATTAAAAAACAACAATAATTATCCAGTAAAAGAAGCTACCAAGGGATACCTGGTAAAGCAGTTATCAGAGGATAACCAGGTTAGCTGTCAGCGAACATAGAGAAGCCTCAAAAGGGTCAGAAACTCGAATTGCACGTTCGCAATATACAAATTCAATGAAAAGACGATCAATTAATATTATGTGTATTTATAATTGTAACCAAGTTATTCCTTTTACCCATTAAATAGATTATAATATTATATACAAATTCAATGATTTTTCCTTTAACTGTCATCCATTGATATCTCATTCTCAATAGAAACGGACCATGTTGTGAAAATGTTGTTTTGAAAAAAAAAAAATCCGCATTTTAAGGGTTTACTATCAGTTTTGAAACTTTAAAGAAAAATATCTGGTACTTTACTATGCAAAGTGGGTGTGGTTTCTAAGCCAAAAATATTCTACATACAGCAATGGTATTAACTCAAAATTGCTTTTCACAACATGGTCCGTTTCTAATTTAGATAAAAGCAAATTAGGTAAGGCATATTTATTGATGGTTACTATTAATAGGAAATTTTGTATGAAAAGATCCTAGTTAGTTCTGAAACTAGAAGTTTTATTCTATTTATTCCTCCCATGGTTATTAGAAAGAAAGAATAAGGTTTCTAATAAAATAACTTTATATGTGACAATTAAGCTTAAAATTATACTTAAAACGAAAAAATGAACAAATAGCTTCTTATATCTTGTAAGTTTTACAGTGATTCCAAGTGATCCTTGGAGAATATATGAGACATATGAACATTATGCTACATAAAGGCTTCAGTGTTCAAGATATTTTAATTATCCAATAGAATCTATATAAAGTAAAGTTCAATCAGCCTTTCCGTTCGGGCTTGTATATAATTTTTTTATAGTTAATCCATAATAGAGACGGAAAATTGCATAAAATTTCAAAATTTATGCGTTGCATTTTTTTAAAAAAAAACTATATATATATATAAATATAAAGGAATATCTAAAAATTTTCAATATTATTATCATTACCATTGCCTTCTTCTTCTTCACCACTTTCTATTCTAATTGTTTCGTCATCATCATCACTTTTATCATTTTTGCTTCCCACATTTCCATCACCATCAATTGTAATATCCATATCATCATTGTGGTATTTTTGGACATTTTAATTTGTAATTAAAATAAATATACACCAATTTAAAACACATTCGGGTGTCAATAGTTTATTTATCTTTTTATCATTTATAAAAGAAAAAGTAAACCAATTCCTTTTAGAAGCAAAGCTGATGAATTATCAACCCTACCCAGTTTAACAAATAAGGCCAAATTTTTGATTTGTCATTCCTTAAAAATACTATCAATAATATAATTAATAATAACTTGGTAAAAATTAAAATTCTCTTTTTTTTTGAATATGGAACATTGCATGATTTGAAAAAAAAATCCTGCGCATGTCACATCTCTGATCCATTTTATTAATAAAGCAAATTATTTGGTTAATTAACAAGTAAACCTTATTACACTAAATCAGGAAGATCCAAATCCTCCCTATAGCTAATTGTGGCTTCATAGAAAGTCATCATTGCTGCTGCTGCCACCAGCTAGACATATCCTGCCACAGTTAAAATGGCAGCAGAGAGGTCAGTAAGAATTTGATAAAAGAAGATTCAAACAGATTTTTTGGAATTTGATGATTTATTGTTTGTTATTTTGTTTTTTATTATTATTGTTGTTTACATTCATCTTTTTTATTATTTGGAAGTTTGGATCAAATATTCTTTAATTAACAATTTTATTATTGTTTGCATTCATCTTTTTTTTATTATTTGGAAATTTGGATCAAATGTTCGTTGATTAAACAATTTTAATACTGTTGTTCACTTTTACTTTTTTATTTTTTAAATTTATATCATGTGAATTCTCTATAATGCAATTGGTACTTGCTATTTATCCATCGTACAATTTAATATTAAATATAAAATTCATTGAAATGAGGATTTGACTATAGGCTCACATTATCATTATCATTATCACTATAATTATAATCACCATTATCATTGTCAATGTTACAAATAAGTAAAGGAGCAATACAAATTATCCTATAATAATAATTTCTAAAATTTTGATCCCACAATCCAACAGTCTTTTAAAAAGCCATCCATCAATCCGAATACTAACAGATTTTTTTCATGGATATCCAGATTGACCATCCATGGATCACATCTCTAAAGCATATTAAATTTGTGTAGTACGGTTATGCAAAAAATGTCTAGTGCAATTCAAAATATTGTAATATGAAGATTATTCTCAAATTTAAAAAAATCCACGAAAAAAAATTTTGACAGATCCCTTTTTTTAAAGCCGAATTGAATGGTGGTGGTTTTTAAAATCTAACATGTGGATCACATAATATTTCAA